CAACAGTTTGCTCGCCCACTCTCCGCTTTGGCTAGTGGAAGACACACTGGTTTCCCTAAAGTAGCTTTTTTTTTTTAGCTCCCTTTTTTTTGTCCTTTCTTTCCCCGGGTAGCCTCCTGCCTGCAAAGCGCCAGTGCATTGTCCCCTGACAGCTGATGCTTATCGCGCCGGGGGAGGGGGGGAGAGTATTGTGTTTCAGCTCGTGGCACTGGAAAACCTCGCAACTTTCTTTTGAAGTTAAATGGCTTCATTTGGTTTCCAGGGCTGAATAACTCTCCGAACTATAATGACCCAAAAGCCGACCCATTTACAGCGCCCATCCAACCAACCTGTTCCTCTCTCAGTCGGAGCTTTGGCCAAGAAGGTGGGGGGAAGCTCCTCGACCAGCCTAACTTGCACCGTAATTAAATTGTATTTTATCCTACCGAAGCGTTAAAAATATCGAGCAAAATACAAGTTTCAGTAATTTGTTTGTATTCTTACCTGTAGGAGCTGGAAATTAACAGCCCCGCTTAGTTTACTGTTCAGCCTGGAGAGCGAGAGATTGCTTTGCAAACATTACAGTTATTATGTCTGCAGTTGGTACTCTTTGTATAAATTATTGATCAGCCATCTTATTTTTCTTTCTGCTTAATGGATATTATAGCATAGCCGTTTACACGCTATAGTTAAGGTTGTGTCAGCACTTCCATTTATAACATCCCCCTCTTGCCGAGAGTTTATAACTCGCAATAAAATTCCGCTCTGGGCTTAAACTTTTCAAGCAAGAGCTCGGACTTCTAAAGGTCTTTCACCTCCCCGTCAAAGAACAATTAAAAAATGTTTGTCTGCCTTTTCTGTTGTTGTTGTTGAAATATGGGACTAATCAAGGTTAACACCCCACCCACCAATGTTTTTCAGTCACTGGAGTGACTTGAGGAGGAAAAGGCTGCGTCTCGCAAGCTGTCAGCTCGTACAGAAGAAAAACTCAGTGTGCATTTTTAAAATATACTTATTATTATTAAAGGAAACAATTAGTGCTGGAGCAGCTGCCGAGCCGGCGCCCTCCGCCCCGATCCAGGTCCCCGGCGCCGGGGGATTGGCCAGCCCGGCGGGGACGGACGGACGGGCGGATCGACGGACGGATTGACGGAAGGACGGATGATGCCGCGGTCCCCCCACGGCTCCGGCAGAGACCGGGGCGCGTATTGGAAATCCAGGAACATTTGAACACCGGGCAGGCTCTCCAGCGGCTGTATTTCGATCAGCCTGGGCTTGGAGATGGAGCGGCTGAGCAAACCAATTCTGTAAGGGGCGGGGAGGTGTGTGTGTGTGGGGGGGGAGCACGGGAAATAGCATCTCAAAGTAGACCACCGCTTTAACATAATTTAATGGCAGGGGCTTTGCACTTCATAATTACTGCTCCGAGCGACTTTTTCTACCTGTTGGTAGGTGAATTAACACGTTGGACTGAGGACCTCTAATGAGAGCCCGAGTGTAACTCAAACAGAGATCCCCGCCTATTCTAGTCCTCTAATTCACGCAGGGAAGTTGGTGATCGCTTCCTCATCGCACCGCAGCCTGCTCTCTTGGCCGTCCGTCTTCAGGTGGATGTCAGCAGGCGGTGCCCAGCTCCTGCTCCATCCCTCCATGCCTCTATCCATTCATCTGTCCATTTCTCCCCCGCCCGCGCCCCAGTGAGCGCGAGCAAGGAACCCGACCCCCGATCCACTTCACCGTTTGGCTTTGGAAGCTGCAACGTGATCGAGAGGCTCAAATCAACGTAAGGGTTATTGTAGTTACTGACTTCGAAACGTATTTTCTAAAGTCAGAACAATGACTTAAATGATAAAAAACCCCAAACAAAACCAAACAACAAAAGCCCCCAACAACTAAACCACGTAAATAATCGAGTCACTTAATTGGCGTTTGGTATTTGCGATTTGCATATATGAGCTTGTGCAGGGGTGTTTGTACGTGTGTGTGTGTATGTGTGTGTGTGCATGTGTGTGTGATGCATGGAGGAGGGAGGGAAGGGGTGAGGTTCCCAAGCCGTCGGGTACTGTATCTTTCAGCACGGCACGTCTTTGGTCAGAGCAGCAGTCAGCATCACCGTAGAGATCTCCCATTTCTTGTGGGGCTGAAGGTGCAGGATTGAAGGATGGGGGGGGGGGGAAGGGGGGGAGGGTAAGGGTGAGGTAGTAAATCCTGCCCTTGTACTAGCGCGCTGATACCCTCGGAGCCAATGAGATGACTCGCGGGAGTTAAGCCGGCGGAAGCTGCCCCAGCGCTGAAGGGATCGGGTCAATCAGAGTGTGCCAAGCCCTCGGGTCCTGTGCTGGGGATGCGCAGCCCCTTCTCTCACCTCTCCAGCTGAGAGGCACATTACACAGTCAGCTCAGGTGATCATTTGCTCCCAAATTCTCCTTTTTAGAGGCTTCAAAAGTTATTTTTAATGGCTTCTGAAGTTTCTGCCATTCCATTCTTACATCATTTTTTCCTTTATTTTTTGTGTGTTAAGCAGGCACCATACATTAACTACAAATTGCAGTAAACAGAATGCAAAAGCAATCTTACCGTGTATTATTTTGGACTTTTTATGATATATGGTGGACAGTTCAGAAGTGTATGCTGTTGTTGAAGCTGTTTGTGCTCGGTGTGCTAATTGATTGAGTGAATTAGCAGTCATAACAATCTGGCAGACTGGCCATAGAAGTGTGCTCAAATTGATTTGTGTTATGGCTGGACTGGAAAATCTAGTGTTAGTTGTTTTTTGCCCTGGGGCATTGTTTGTACCAAAGTCCACTTTTCATTTAATTTTCCAATAGATTTTTGAAAGACCAAAAGGTTTGTGATCAACGTTTGCTGCACTTTATTATTATTCTTCAGCTATTAAAAATAACTTATGAGTAATTTCAGGTTCCCCAAAACCTTGCTTTCAATTAGAGTAAACATAATTAGTGTGACGTCGTGCTTGGAATGGTAAATCTCCCTTTGTATCTATTAAGCATGTTATCTACTTGTCCTGTCACTGAAAGGAATCCAGTTTGTATTTGTATTGGACAAGGTCTGTGCTAGTTTGACTATAAAGCAACAATTAGAAAAACAGCACTGCAGTATCCAGTTTCTTATTACTGGTACAACACTTCCCATCAATCTCAACAGTATTCATGGCATTTTCAATGTTTAGTAAATATCTTGGTGGAGAAAAGAAAAAAAAGCATCCCAATTCAGAGACTTACACTTCTATGAGCCTTTTTTCCTGAGCGATGAAGGGGGGATTTGTATGAGGTCCCTCCTCTTCCTCAGACTTCCCTCCAAATAACAGATAGCCCTGAAAGGAGGATTGCTGCTTGAGACCCCAGAGATTAAAAGCAAAACAGAACTTACCTTGTATTTGCCAGTACCTGCTCCTTTCTTAGAATCTTCTGCTCAGCAGTCATTTGCAAGAATTATCATGCAGCATGATTAAACCTAAACTATTACTCTATTGATCATACAGAAAGCTTTGTGAAATCATTTAGTTTCTTCTCTTCAGAAACTGGTGAACAAAACAGGTCACTAAACAAGGATAAGACAAAATACAAGATAGGTATTTTTTAGGAAAAGAAATTAAAAAGAAATGCTGGGGGGGGGGGGAAGGGGGGAAATACCGTGGATTAACTTAGAAGGGTAATACACTATACACTATTCATCCTTACCAGGTGCCTATCTTCCACATGCATCCCCTCCCCCGGTTCATTCCTTCACACACGTTCAGAAGAGAAGTATTTTTCTGTTTGGTTTTTTTTTTCTGAATGAATTTAAACATTAATTATCAATAACAAGTGACTGTGGTTGGGGAAGGGGAGCTGAGGTACTATCCTATCTCCTGTCAGTCAGGTATTCACATCCCTTAAAAAGCAACAGCTACAATGCATTTTCTAATTGCATTTTACCCTTTACAGCTGCCCTCAAATTTGTAATTTAATAAAACAGTGAACTCCGTATCAGTCTTTTTTTAGAGCAATAAATTACAATCACTGTCAATACATCTTACTGCTTTAACACGCATTTTAATACAGCAAAACGGTTAAAAGAAAAAAAAAAGGTAGACAGAGAAATACAGAGAATACCTGCCCTGAACATGAGCAGAACAGAAGACCTGCTTCAAACAATATTCCAGGAAAGAAATTAAAGACTTCTTAATTAGTGCAGCAATTAAGCTTTCTTGGTCGCATTTTAATCAGCCCAGGCCCTATCAAAGGACAAACAGAACGATTTGCAGGTCTTCGAATTTTAAACAGCCTGATTGATTTCACCACCATAAGTCTTCACTTGATGCAGGGATATTTTTCAAATATCAGTTACAGTAATTTGAGTTTTGCTGATATCAACTCAGGGAGACACAAAAAGGAAAACACCCAACAGTATCATTACATGAAAGGGTCAGCGAGTAAGAGAAATGCAACCTAAAAAAGTTTACACAGGGCAGCCTCAGGATTTGTTCATGCGTTTGTGGGAGCATGTGAGTGTATGTGTGAGTTCAAATAAATTCAGTCACTCCCCATAATCACGAGAAACACTTACCAAGCCAGAAGCTTTGAGGAGTCTTGGGTCTTTTAATAATCCCATTGTTGCATTGAAATGATCAAGGTTAACCCAAACCTGTGGTAGTAAACCCTTTCAAACCACATTTTTTTCTATATGGTTTTGAACCATGAGGATTATATATTCATGAGGGCACACAGCAAGAAGAAAAGCAGAAGGACTGGTGTGCATCACATTATAGTAAAGGTGGAGAACAAATGAAATGGTAGGTTTCCTAATTCAGAGTTCTCTCAGATCTCCGAGTGGTAATATGACATATGTCTGGCTCTGTCCTGATCTCCTCCAGGATCTGTCCTGATCTTCTCCAGGATCTGTTCTGATCTTCTCCAGGATCTGTTCTGATCTTCTCCAGGATCTGTTCTGATCTTCTCCAGGTGCCAGGGAAGGTTAGATGCAAACGGACAGTTGAGGCAAAGAAAACATGGGCAGAGTTGGTTTCCTATAACTGGAAAAAGAAAGATGCAGTGTATTCAGAGTTTTAAATTACAGGTTTTATGCAACACTAGATCCTGACACTGGAACTCAAGTTGAACAAGCTCCTCCAGAGAAATGTTCTGAAAAAGCACCTAAAAACGACAGTAAGAAGTCTTCTCCACAATTATGGGTATGCAAGACTTCAAAACAAAATGCCACTTTGTATTTTCCTGGGTTTATTTGTAAATTTTGAGGATTTTAGTGCACTGTTCTGCTAAACTTTCACAAGCAAAGATCACCTTTGTCCTTTAGAACACCTATTAGAACATGAGTTCCCGTAAACTGAACTTTAAAGTAAAATAAGCAAGTAGATCATACAAGAACAGTTTACATCTGGTAATGTGGAAATTCCCCTGCACTGAATTACTACAGTTGAGATTATCCACTTTGTAGATGTGTCATCCCATGAGTCATACCTCACATAATAGTATACATAATAAAAAAGCAGCTATGGGCACATACATGCATCACAATTAATTAAATACACTGCGTATATTTTTAAAGCAGGAGAACTACGCACACGCCGAGCCCCATTTCTGCCGAGCCCCTCAATCTATCCGAACAGCCGCTTCTTTACCCCTTTGAACACGCCAAGTGCCCTCCACACAAGCAAAACCAAGCTCCGGGCTATCCCGACCGACACCGACGCCCCACTGCAGGGGGCATACCACGAGTTAGATCAGCATCCCCGGCGCCAGCGGCGCGCAAGTACCGCGGACACGCGTGGGGCCCGACCACGCGAGGCGAGGCGCGTCCTACCCTGCCCGCTGCGCCACTACGCATGCGTGGGCAAGCGCAGCAGCTCACTTTGCGCGCTACCTGGCTCGGGGCTCGGCGAGCTTTCTGCGCGCCTCCTGCGCGGTGCCGGCACCTGTTACGCAGCGGTACCTGAGCGGGCCAGGCCGGCCTCCTTCCCCTCTCCTAAGTTACTTGTATGTCGCTGCTGCCCTCCACGACGCGGTTTCCCGGCGGCGTGACCCGCGGAGCCGCGTCCCCTAGCAGGACCGTCCCCTGCGCCACGCAACGAAGGGGCCTCGGCGCTGCCGCCAAACCCTCAGCAACAACTCCCTCCACGTTTGTGGTCCCGGGAGAACAACGAATAACAACAAGAGCAACAGACCGGTCCGGAGGTTTCCGCTTTTGTCCGCGGGTGCCCCGGCCCCGACAAGGTGCGCGGATAGCGCCCGCCCCTCGCCCCGCTCCGGGAGAAGGCTGGAGACGCTCGTGTTTCTGCACAAACTGTGTTGACAAGCGATTGCTGAAAAGGGCTGGGAAAATTACATCTAGTCTCTGGTGGGGTGAAATATGAAACATGTAATCTAACGGTTCCTGAAGGGGAGGGGGGAGAAAAAGACTTCTGTCTCCTTCTCTGTTTTCCTGCTCCGAGTTCCTGGTTGGATAATTCGGGTTAATACTAGTGACTGAGCCTTTTGCTGCTTCAAAGGGTATTTCAAGTTGCCGGAGCTCCTCCCCTCCGCACCGTGTGACAACAACAACTCGTCCAGCGAGCGAGCGGCGGCGGCGGCAGCCAGCACTTCCCAGCTCATTTTCTCTCTGTCATTCCCCTCTCAATCTTTGATCAATGTACTTGCCAGAGAGAACCGAAGTCCTTCAAACCTCCTCTTTTTCACCTTCGTCTTTAACGTGGTGCTAGAGCAAGGACCACAAAAAGAAACTGCCCTCCCCCTCCCCTCGGCCCCAGCCCCGCCGCCCGGAGCGGACTTCTCCTCCTCCTCCTCCTCCTCCGTCCCCACTTGCGGGACACTTTGTGCGTTCTCTCTCTCACTCTGCCCCCTGCTCTCTCGCTCGCCGCAGCACCTGATCCGGGGTTATCCCCCCCTTCTTCTCCCCCCTTCTCCCTTCTCTCCTTTCCTCCGTTTTTTTAATTTTTTTTCCCTTTCCCCTGCGTGTGTGTGGGAACTTTCCCCCCTCCCCCTGCCCCCTCCGCCGTATATGTGACCATGGCCGTACCGGCTGCTTTGATCCCTCCGACCCAGCTGGTCCCCCCTCAGCCTCCGGTCTCAACTTCTGCCTCCTGCACCACCACCACCACCACCTCCTCGTCGGCCACCTCCTCGTCAGCCACCTCATCTCCGTCTCCGTCCATCGCTCCCCCGCCGGCCTCTTCGGGGACAAACCTATTCCGCCCGGAGCCCATCGCAGCGGCGGCGGCGGCGACGGCCACAGTCACCTCCACCACCAGCGGCGGCGGCGGTAACGGCAGCAGCAGCGGCGGCAGCGGCGGCGGCAGCCCCAGCCTGGGCACCGGCGGCGGCAGCAGCAGCGGCGGCAGCAGCGGCGGCACTTCCACTCCCAATGCCAGCGCAGCCAGCGCGGCCAGCAGCCTGCCCGGCAAGCCCGTGTACTCGACCCCGTCCCCGGTGGAGAACACCCCCCAGAATAACGAGTGCAAGATGGTGGATCTGAGGGGGGCCAAAGTAGCCTCCTTCACCGTGGAGGGCTGCGAGCTCATCTGCCTGCCCCAGGCTTTCGACCTCTTCCTGAAGCACTTGGTGGGGGGCTTGCACACGGTCTACACCAAGCTGAAGCGGCTGGAGATCACGCCTGTGGTCTGCAACGTGGAGCAGGTCCGCATCCTGAGAGGGCTGGGGGCTATCCAGCCCGGGGTCAACCGCTGCAAACTCATCTCCAGGAAGGATTTCGAGACCCTCTACAACGACTGCACCAACGCCAGGTAACCGCCGCAAGGCACACGCGTATCCCGCGCCCCCTCCCCGCCACCGCCTCCCGTCCCACCCCCGTGCGGTGCGGCCCGGCCCGGCGTGCGCTGCGCTCTTTCCCGCTGCTTCCCGCAGCCAACGCTCGGCCCCGGGGCAGGGGGTGGAGGGGAGAGACCCGCGTCCGGAGGTCACATGCAGTCGCCCTCTTCCCTCTCCCCTGCTGCCCCGGCACCCAGGCGGCCTCCTCCTGAGCCGGCCGCGCCGTTTCTTGGTGGGACGGAGGGAGAGACGGGAAGGGGTATTTGTGTCCCCCTCCCTCTGTGCCTAGCAAGTGTCGCCTTGTCATTGTTCCCCTCTCTTTCTCCGACCAAGGCGGCCGCAGGCTCCGGGCGGCCGCGGGCAGCGCAGTGCGCTGCTTATGCGGGGAGGGGAGGGCCGGCGGAAGCTGGGAGGGGGCAGCGCGGCCTAAAAGTGCTTTTTAAGCGACAAACACCCCGCTCCAAGTTCATCCCTGGATGTATCTTTAAAACGGGCAGCCCTGGGAAAAAGCTGTCCGAGGGGTGCACGGGAGTGGGCGGGGAGAGGTCGCGGAGGGAGGGGGACACACACTCGGGCAGCTCACGGACACCCGGGTTTCGGGTAAATGGGTCGGGGCGCGGAGCCGCCTCCCGGGCGGAGGGGCCTGCCCGGGGTGAATGGAGGCCACTTGGCCATCAGCCGCTGTCATGTAGTCGAAGCATGAGAGCACTTTTTGTATCAGTCTATGAGGCAGTTGCCACATGGCGAATGTGGGGGGGGGAACGGGGCGGGGGGGGACGGGACGGGGACGGAGGGCGGGAAGACGGCGAGGAGGAGGAGGTGGCGGCGGCTGCTTTGGGGTAGCGGGGAGAAGGTGCCGGGCGTCCGGGATGGGCTGCTTCCCGTGGGGGGAGGGGAGAGCCCGGTCCCGGTAGAGCAGGTGCGAACAGCACCCGGGTCCCGGCAGCCGGGGAGGAGGCGACGGGGACAGCGGAAGAGCAGGAGGGATTTGGAGGCGCTGAGTCCTGTTACCGCTCAGAATAACGCGGGCGCGGTGGCGGGGACGGAGCGGCGTAACGCCGCGCTCCCCGCGGGTCTGGGCGGGGGGACGACGGAGGAGAGGTGAAGCTCCAAACTTGCTACAACGGGGAGGGGTGTTGGGGGCATGGGGAGCTGGCAAGAGAGGAAATGCCTGTTGCAGTAGCAGCCCGCTTTGCAATCGAGGGCGAAAGCGTGGGGCTGCTATCTCTCCATCTGTAGGTTACAGGGCTGAATCTGCTTGATACGGGAAGGGGATCGCATAACTGCCGTGACCCCGAGATGAGAGCGGTCGGAAGCGCCGCCAGCTCCCGGGCCACCCTCCGTAACTTGGGCGGGGAGCTCTTCTCCGGGTCTGCCGGGCGGGAGCGGCGGCAGGAGCTGCACCCGGAGCAATGTCGTAGGCAAAGTCCCGATGTTACTTTCGGTACATGCAAATAAACAGACCGGGCTCGTTTCAGTTTCCTATTGTCAGATTTCAAGGTGCAGCCACAGCCAACACGTGGGGAATTAACCCCAGGCGATGCCGTGCGCCTTCCCTCCCTCTTCTCCCCTCCCCTCTCCTCATGGCGGGAGGTGTGCCGTTCCCTCCGTACCCCCTGCCCGAGTTAGTCGGGGGTAGTTGGGACTCATTAGCATAGAGCCCGGCGAAGTAGAGCCCTGACACTGCAGTAGCTGTTGCTAGATGGATTGTTGAAGTTCCTGAATATTCAGGGCAGCAGGACAAAACAGCCTGGAATAACTTCCAAGCGCTGACATAACTGTAGCTGCTCGGATAACTCTACTGTTGTTTCATGTGGGATCAACATGAATATTAATAGCTGCTTTTAGACTTTTTGTGTGTGTGTGTGTGTCATGTAACTTCTGAGTACTCTGCACAAGTTCCAAGATCTGGTCCTTAAAATAAACTCATGGAAGTTTTATTTTGCCACGGTTATAATGTGTGTGTTGTAATTTGAATGTGTGAAATTAAAAAATAGAGAAGGGAGAAACTTTTTTTTTTTTTGGGGGGGGGGTACGGGAGCATGGGGACACCAATTCCTGGGCTTGGCAGGGTTCTAAAAAGGTTTGGCAGCTGGGTTGATTGTGTCAGCAGCGCAGAATCGGCCATGTTTCAGCTGTTTCTGAGATCTCCTGTTATCATCCAGCGTCGTAGAAATTACAGTAGTAGGTTCAGAAGTGGATAGGATTTGACCCTTAAAAAGTGTAATTGTAGTAGACTTATTTATACATCCATTAAGCAAATAACATAATGGAAAGGATACACAATAGGTATGCAGAATATATTATTACAGTATAGACGAATAAAGCAAAGTGGGTCAGTGAGTTTTGGTCAAAACGGATGATATCATCAGAAGATAAATCTGTATTTGCTCTCTGTGTTGCCTCTCCATACATTTCATTCTGATCCTTCTTTCCTTACAAATTATTTGAAATTATTTCTGACGTTACAGTAATTACACAGGATATTTTGATCTAGTCGGTTTAGCAGTTTAAGTGATCTTTCCAGACTCTCAGTGACTGCATATTTAGTAGGGTAATGTCTTTTTGTATCTTGGGTGGACACTTAACTGTCAAGATGGAAGCTGTAAGAGCCAACTCTATCCTAGTGGCTAAATCGTTATACTCATCAGATTCAAAAATTTTGAACCAGCATGTTATCACTGTTATATTTGTCTCATAATCAGCTGATGCACTTGAATACGCTGATCTCTTTTTGGAAAGCTTCATCAAGGTTAATATGTTATTTAATAAAAAAAAGGCATCCAGATAAAGCCATTACTTTGTTGTTCTTTAAAAGGATTGAATTGTTAGTTGCCAGTTGTTGTGGAAATAATTTATAATATATTACTTAGAGATGGAAAAGTTTTAGAAGTGTTTCACCAAAATGGTACATTTTAACTGTGATACTGCTATTAAAAAAAAAATAAAATCAATCAAACAAAAATCAATGAAACACCAAGGGATTTTCTATTGAATGCTTAATGTGGAGGTCTGTAAAGTGAATTGGTTTATGTGTTTATTTGTGATACTACTAATAATAACATGGTACTAAAGGACCTTCTTCTAAATTAGGCTTCTATATCAGTTCACTGGAAAAATAAGCTTCCGTTATGGAAGATGACTTTTCTTTTCTGGTCATACTGACCTTTGCTTTTATTTTGCTCATAAAAAGCACTGGTCGCCTAACAGAAATCCAGGAAATAGCAAACTGTGCATTTAGCTTACATTCCGATTAAATGGTTTGACATTAATGGGATGTTAGAAAGCCATATGCCAAACAAATAAGGGAAGGATAAAGGCAAAACATGGAAAATATTTAGAGCTACTAGATGCCAGTCGAGTCAGGTTTCTTGAATGTGTGTGTGAAAGAGAGTAGCGAACTGTGCATTGGATGTCACCTGCCCAGGATTAATGACCTGGAAGATATTGATCCCAGATTGTTCCTGGTCCCTTGTGTTTTGAACACTTGTTGTAGAATTTTACCGTGCAGGGTCCCTTCATGGAGTTTTCCCATAGACTTAGGTGGCTTTGGATCGTGCCCACCGGTATAAGGACTAAAGGTGTGTGCCTTCTGACCTCCCTCATGTGGCCAGGACATGTTAATCTTTTCTGACATTTGAAGATGATTTTGAATGAGTTCATTGACATTCATACTTAAAGCTGGGAATTATTCAACATTATTCACAAATTTTGGAAAACAACCTAATTGATTTTTTAACATAAAGGGGAAAGATGCCGAACATGGAACAGTTCCCTTCAAAGCATGTCTTACATGGCAGTTATTCAGTCTCTGTTTGCTAGCTTCTGCTTCTCTGAAATTATGTGGACTTAGCATGTACTTGTTTACTGAATACTGCATGCTGCATAGGCTTTTTCTGTTTGTATTAATTAAAGGAGTATCTCACCCAGATAGGTTAGTGCAGATCACAGATACTTCAAATGAACAGGTCAGCAAGTGCAGCTGAACGGAATGTCAAATACATAGTATCCGTGGTTTATATTGATGACCTTCCTGCTTGCCACAGATTACTAAAATATAATCAGCAGAAACATGGTAGGTTTTACAAGCAAAGGCGACTTCTGGAAGGTCAGAGGATAAATTGTAGTACCTATAAAGATGAAGTAAAAGGTTTGGAGGTGGCTTCATCAGACTGAAAAAACCCTAAAAAGACTCAGCCACTAGCAATTACAGAATTTTAACATCCGTCTCATGGTATTTTAATTACTGGTAAATACTATAAATTAAAAGCTGAGATCTTTGGACCATACTTACTGCAACAGAACAGACTTTTGATCTGGTAGTTGATCCCTAACAGTAGCCTAGTGTCTGATACTTGAGGAAGGGAACACTTCTCCCCAG